GTGGATTTCTTCCACTCTTGGTCCTCCTATAAAGCAGGTTTTGGGAGCCAGGAGTCCAAATTCTGGCCAGGGAATGAGAATTTGCACCAGCTGACTCTCTAAGGTGGATTCCCATCAGGGTCAAGGGAGCCTGAGGGGTATTCCTATGGCATTCTGGGGTCTGAGGATTCCTCCTCCTTCCCCCCCAGGTACCTGGGAACTGCAGATTGAGCTGGAGGATTTCAATGGCAACCGTACCTTTTCCACCTCCATGGGGAGGCAGATCACTACCAGCTGGTGCAGGGCAAGTTCTCAGGAGGCAGGTAAATGACCCTAAGGTGGGGCTCTGGAGTAGGGGAAGAAGGTGAGGGAGACTGGGTCCTTTCCCAGAATTGCCATTGCCTCCATAATGACCCAGGTCAATTCCTTCCCCTCAGTATCCTCATCTGAGAAATAGCAATCATGAGACAAGTTGGTACAGGAGTGAAGAATTTTGGCTCTAGAGGCAAACAGACCTGAGTTTGAATCCAGCTCTGTTGTTTACTATGTGACCCTGGACAAGTTCCTTCCACAACGGAGCCTCAGTTTCTTGCCCTGTAAAATGGACAAGGAGGCAGGGAGGGAGGCTGTGGGAGCTATCTGAGGCTCTGCTGAGTGTTAGTATTATCTGCTTCAGAAGAGGAACCAGGGAAGGCTTTTTTTTTTCTTTCGGAGAAACAGCAACTGTTGAGAGACTTGAAAGAGGGAAGTGGTTACAGGGAGTTACCTCAGGGGAGTCCCTTTTCCTGCCCAGGCATCTGAGAAGTCCCTCCCAGCTATCCCTGACAGAGTTGCTCAGGCTGCTTGCTGATGCTAGCTGGGGAGAGACAAAGGAGCTAGAGGGAAGCTGGGGATTCTGGGAGAGGACAAGGCAAGGGGAGGAGCTGGTGGCTTTGGAAGCACAGTTCTGAGTTCAAGTCCGTGTGCCTTTGACCTTGAGTAACCTTGGACAAACAACCTGGCTCCTTGGTACTGCTGTTTTTTCGTGAGGTCTGATAACACCCACCTCTCAGTTGCTCTGAGGCGCCTGTGAGATCTCCTCTTCAAACATGCCAGGCATGGCGCCGGCATCAATGTGCTTCCCATCCCCTCCCTGTCAGCAGACGCTGAGTTACCACAATGGGAAGTCCTTTACCACCTATGACAATGACCATGATATAAGTAGGAGCAACTGCGTGGTGACTGTCCATGGTGCCTGGTGGTACGGATCCTGCTATCAATCCAATCTCAATGGGTGCTATGCAATGTACCAGACCACTGCCCACAAGTATGGCATTGACTGGGTCTAAGGCCTCGGCATGGCCCACCCTTACCACAGAGTTGCATGATGTTTTGCTAAGGCACCCTGGCAGCCAGCACCCTTATCTCTCCTGTACAGCTTCCGGACCCTCGGCTACCCCTTCCCATTGCTAACTGCCTCTGCTCTCCTGTCCACATTTTAAAATAAAACCATTTTAACCCTTTCCTGGCTTGCAGGACTCTTCCAGTTCCTGGGAAAAACTCAAAAGGGCAGAGCAAAGACATAGGTTTTAGCTCCATTCAAGGAAGACTTTCCTTCCAGTCTCATAAGATAGGCTTCCATCTCTGGAGGTTTGCAAGCCAAGGCCAGAAAAACATTTTGTGGAGGACTTGAAAGGGATTCAAGCATCCACTGACAGTGTGCCCTTGGGCCCTGCTGGAATTGCAAGTGGATGGTTTTGTGGTGGGAATTACATAGCTTTCTCACCCTTTCTGTTGCCCATGGATGTCCCGTCTAGTTTGTCTGTTTGCCACCCCAGCCTCTGTTGTAAGCCAAGTTCTCACCCTCTGCTACTTCTTGCCTGGTCTACTAGGGGCTGGTTTGAACTCAGGGTCAAATCAAGGAAGGTATACATTTTTCTTCCATGGGGCCACAGGATAGTAAAAGAGCAGTTATTGAGCTAGCATTTATTGAGCAACTAATTTGCCAGAGCCACATTCTAGAAAGTGGCAGAGCAGTTAGTTAAGAGTCTGATGATATCTGGGAGTCCTGGGACTGCATCCTGCTCTGTCATGTGGCTGAGTGATCTTGGACAAGTTACTCCACCTCTCTAAGTGCCCCATTCCTGATTTCAGAGTCCACTGAGGTTTATACCAGGTTGCTGCCTCACCAATTCACACTAAAATCTTAGGGATGCTTGGGAATTTGGAGCTGGGAAGCTACTGTAGTTCAAGGGCTGGGGTTCTCCTTCAAGTGGGTAGAGAAATGTTTATGTGAGGACTCTTCTCAGATCCCATGGTCACGTTCTGGGTGGAGGTCAAAGGTCAGTAAATTGGATTCTGGGGAAAGCATGCCCCTGGCAAGATGGCAAATGTGGGGGCTCAGATGTCAAGTCCCATAGTAGGGTTGATGGTCTCCTGGCAGGTGGAGGGGCAGACTTGCCCCATTCCAGTCCCTCCCTGGAGAACCCACTCTTCACCCTGCTCTGCATACCGATGTCTCTGGAGAGCCATTCATTCAACAGATCCTGCAGGGCAGGGCCTGCAATTCAAGCCCCTTCCCTAGCCCTGGTCTGGGCACACATTTGATGAGCTCCTGTTGTGAGCAGTCCACAGCGGTTGGTGTGCATGGGGCATAGGCTGTTCCGGAAGCGGCTGGACTCAGAGATTCTAGCGGGAGAGGAGGGTGGGGAAAAGCCGAGTCCCGGGCCGCTAGGGAGCGGTGCTGCTTCAGGGCCGAGGGTGGAGCTTTCCCGGTTGACTGGTAAAGGGCTGGGCCGGTCTACATGTGAGGACAGGATAGAGCGACGGAAGACGCTCTCCTGCGGAGTCTGCGTGGAAGGTAAGGTCGGTCCGATTCCCAGGATCTCCCAAGTGACTCTGAGCCGCGGATCACTGGATGTTCCTGATTCCCGGGACCCGATCCCCGACTTCAGATCCTCAGGACCTTCCAAGTCGGAGCTCGGATTTCTCCCTGGGCTCCAGATTCCGGGAACGGGACCTCCAGCCGGACTTCGGATCTCCAGATCCCTTAGGAGATTCCCGGTCCCGACCGGATTCCTGATCTCGAGATCCCTGGATCCGTCGCCCCTGGCTCCAGCCCTGTCCTGAGTCCGTAGAGCCGGGCTCCCGACGCCCGAGCGCCCCCGCATGGCGGGGCCGTGCTCGCGACCCGGGGCTCTAGAGCGCGCCGGCAGCTGCTGGCAGGACCCGCTAGCCGAGGCACTGAGCAGGGGCCGGTCGATCGCGGCACCCCCGGGCCGGGTCGGCGTGCGAAGCCGGCCGCTCAGCGTGGTCTACGTGCTGACCCGGGAGCCGCAGCCCGGGGTAGAGCCGGACACAGGAGCCGAGGTGGAGCCGCTGCCCCTTCGCTGCCTGCGCGAGGCCTCCGCGCAGCTCCCAGGACCACGGCCGCGGCCGCAGCTGCGCACCCTGCCCTTTGGGAAGCTAGCGCTTGGAGACACGGAGGCGCTGGATTCCTTCTACAACGCGGGTGAGTGAGCGCTGGGGGCGGGGGCGGGAGCCAGGGAGAGGATTAGGGTCTTGGGCGGGGCCAAAGGGGGCGTGGCTCGGCGACTCCAGAGGACTCAGATGAGTGCGAGGCCTAGGAGGGTATTAAAGTGAGCTAAAGCTGAGTAACTCGAGCTGGGGGCCCTGACAAAAGTAGAATTTAGGGGATCTGGATCTCGAGCTGGGACTTAGCGGGGTTCAGCTCTGGGGTTCAGGGTTGGGGCTTAAGCACTCTGGGGTCGGCACAGTGCTTAGAGAGCGTGGCTAGGATTTGCCCAGTGTTGGAAGCGGGGCAGTGTGAGGTGTCTCAGGAGTGGTGTTGCAGAACTCCACCTCGGGATGATTTTGCGCGGAGTTTATGAGGGCGGACCCTGGAGGTGGAGTTTGGACCAGGAAAGGGGCCATACTGGAGTTCAGGAGTCCTAGCATACTACTTCCGAGGATCGGGCTAGAGAGGCAGAAAGGGAAGCGATGGTATCTGACTGACTGGATTCTGGGCGACGGAGCTTAGGTGATGAGGCCTCAGTAGCTGAGACAATGGGCGGGGCTAATGGCCGGGCAGGGTCTCTCGCGGGCGAGGCCGGAGGGCGGCTGTTCCCGCGTGGGTCACCCCTCCCTTCCTCTAGCTCTAACGTCCAGCCCGGATACTTATTTGTTTATCCAAAAGTCTCCGCACCCTGCTTGCCGGATGTCCATAAAATCGCAGCCTAAAAATGAAGACTGACTCGCCCTCGAGGACATAAAGACACATACAGAGTCATAGACAGACTCACAAATCACATGTATGTCAATACACAGGCTCTCACAGACGCTGTCACAGAGATCCAGTCACAGTAAGCTACACACACACACACACACACACACACGCACAGCACAGCGTTATCTACACACACTGCTGCTGCTGCTGGCTCCTTCCAAGGACTGGCTTGAAGACCTTGGGAAAGAGACTTACCGTGTTTGCCCAACTCTTGCCTCTCAAATGGTCTAGAACAGGCCCTGGGCTGGGGCACAGCCTCCTGTCCATCGTGCCCAGTGCCCACAGTCTCTGAACAGTGGGATGAGGATCCTAACCCATTGAGCCCAACTCCTCTCCTGCAAAACCACAAATACCAGTTCTGTGTAAGAGCCAGAGGGACCCTAAAAGGGGGAAATTGAGGCAAGGAGCAAAACTGGATCCTGCTGGGCTGGCCGAGTGGCTCAGTTGGTTAAGAGTTTGCTCAAGACTGCGAGCTCTGAGCAACAGGGCCACCAGTTCGATTCCCACATGGGCCAGTGATGCTGCACCCAAGCTGAGCTGCCACTGAGCTGCCAACAGGTGGCAGGATGGCTCAGCTAGTGAGAGCACGTGCTCCTAACAAGGTTGCCTGTTCCAGATGGTGGGCTGTGCCCGCCCACAACTAAAGACTGAACTCGAACTCGGCACCTTGAGCTGAGCTCCTGCCTGGATGGCTCAGTGGATAAAGCGTGTGCTCTTAACAATGAGGCTGCTGGTTCGACTCCTGTATGGGATGGTGGCTACGCCCACCTGCAACTAAATGAACACAGCACCTTGAGCTGAGCAGCGTGACTAGACTTGGAGCTGAGCTTGCAGCACCCTCCACAACTAAGATTGAAGGACAACAACTTGGCTGTTTCCCTCCCCCAATTCCCCAACACTGTTTCCCTCTTCCAGTTCCCCCATAAAATCTTTAAAAAATAACCCAAAAAAACAAACAAACAAACAAATCTGGATCCTGCTGGAGTCACATAGGAAGGCAGGTGGAATCAAGATCCTCAGCCTCCTCCCCCACCAAGCTGGGCTTCAGGGCTTAGAGCCTCCACATGTGTGCCTGCAGATGTAGTGGTGCTGGAGGTGAGCAGCTCCTTGGCACAGCCCTCCCTGTTCTACCACCTTGGTGTGCGTGAGAGCTTCAGCATGACCAACAACGTGCTTCTCTGCTCCCAGGCTGACCTGCCTGACCTGCAGGCCCTACGGGTAGGTGGCCAGGTAGGTGGGGGCAGGCACAGGATGGGGGTGGCGCCTACCCAGAACACCAGTATCTGTCTGTTTTTTGCAGGAGGATGTTTTTCAGAAGAACTCAGTGAGCAGAATCCACCCCTCACTCCAATGTGCCCTTTGACCTCCACTATGACCTATGACCCCTCGCTACCTTTTCTGGCCTCCTCAGTCACCTCTGATCTCCCCAATACACCATGACATCTGTATGACCCTCTGCTCCCTGTTGCCTCCCTTCCTGAAGTGTGCCCCTTTCCTGCTATTCCAATCCCCACTGGTGCTGACCTCTGACTCCCTCATGGGCCCTTTGTAACCTGGTGCTGACCTCTGACCTCTACTGATTCCTGCCTCCCTCCCACCAGGATTGCGTTGGCAGCTACACGCTGATCCCCTATGTGGTGACAGCCACTGGTCGGGTGCTGTGTGGTGATGCAGGCCTCCTGAGGGGCCTGGCTGATGGGCTAGTGCAGGCCAGGGCGGGCACTGAGGCCCTGCTCACACCCCTGGTGGTCCGGCTTGCCCGCCTACTGGAGGTCACACCCACAGACTCTTGGTAAGGGACCCACAGAAAGGGTGCACCAGGAGGAGGCTGGAGAGGGTACAGTGGGCTAGGCTGAGGGACAGGTCCCACCAGTCCTCCCTACCTCCCCTGTTGCGGGTATCAGTGGCTATTTCCGGGAGACCATTCGGCAGAACATCCGGCAGGCCAGGGAGCGGCTCAGTGGGCAGCAGCTGCGGCAGGAGCTGGCTCGTCTGCAGCGGAGACTGGACAGCGTGGAGCTGCTGAGCCCCGACATCATCATGAACCTGCTGCTCTCCTACCGAGATGTGCAGGTGTGCTCAGAGAGGTAGTCAGGCCATAGCATTTGGTATCAGACAAACCCAAGGTCAGCTCCTGGAAGTGCTGCTTGAATTATATGATGTCTCTGAGTCTCAGTTTGTAATGGGGGTGACCATGTCACTGTCTCCCAGGGCAGTTGTGAGGTTGGGGCACACAGTGGGTTCTCCATGTAAGGTTAAGGTGTGGTGTCTGCACTACCTGCCGGGCCTGAGGGAGGTGTGCAGAGGATGGTGGGGAAGAAGGTGGGGTGTCAGGGGTGGGAGAGGACCGTAGTTCAAGGTTTTCCACAGGATCTAAGGGTCGATAGACGCACCAAAGGCCATCGTGTAGGTGTGTGCTGTTCTCTCATGTAGGACTACTCGGCCATCATTGAACTGGTGGAGACGCTGCAGGCATTGCCTACCTGTGATGTGGCTGAGCAGCACAACGTCTGCTTCCACTATACATTTGCCCTCAATCGGTGAGTGGCAGAGCAGGGCTTGGGTCATAGCCACATGGGAACATGGGTTCCTGCTGTGTGAGATCGTTGCTGTGTGGGATCGTGCTGTTGAGGGAATTTGCTGACTAGGGTCACGCTGATGTCAGATGGCCCCGTTCTATTACTGCTGCCCGGGGTTGGGTGGGGTGATGGTACTGCCCTTGGAGAGGTCACAGCTGTCCAAGGTCACCTCCCCTCAGAGTCACTGCATCTAGCAATCACTTCCATGTGAAATCACTACCTCTAGAAAGGTCAGTGTTCATGAGCGTCACTGCTATTCTGGGTTCATTACTGTCAGGCCCCTGGAAGGGTCCCTGCTGTTCAGCATCTGGGGGTCCCTAGACAGAGTGGGGCAGGGCCATCAGGCAGATTCCCAGTCCATCCTCCTTTCCCCTAGGAGGAACAGGCCTGGGGACCGAGAGAAGGCACTGGCTGTGCTGTTGCCACTGGTACAGTGTGAGGGCTCTGTGGCACCTGACCTATACTGCATGTGTGGCCGTGTCTACAAGGACATGTTCTTCAGCTCTGGCTTCCAGGATGCTGGGCACCGGGAGCAGGCCTATCACTGGTAAGGGGCACAAACAAGGGGAAAGTGGGCTGAGGGGTGGGGCTGTGAGCATCAGTCTAGCCCTGTATCCCTCCACCTGCCCCACAGGTATCGGAAGGCTTTTGATGTTGAGCCCAGCCTTCACTCAGGCATCAACGCCGCTGTGCTCCTCATTGCTGCTGGGCAGCACTTTGAGGACTCTGATGAGCTCCGGCTCATTGGTGAGCCCCTATCCTACACCCCTGACCCCCAATGGTGGCTCAAGGCAGGGAGAAAGAACACTGGGCTAGAGCTGGGGCTGAGCTCATCCCCCTTTTGACCTAGTCTGCCTGAATCCACACGTGGTCCTCATACCTGTCCTGGACCCTCATGAGCCCTTAAGCCCACAAGTGTTGCTAAGCCCACACCTGTGTTCCTTCCACGTACACTTGTTTCCAAACCCTCAGCTGTGCCTGAGCTCCTACTCCCACCTGAAGTCATGCTATACCTACATTTTCACCCATATCTGCATTCCTGCTCACATGAATAGTGTGGCCCACACCTGGGCTCTGTCCACACCAGCAACCATACTCATTAGGGCCACTGCCCCTTTCTCCCAGGCATGAAGCTGGGTTGCCTGCTGGCCCGAAAAGGCTGTGTGGAGAAGATGCAGTATTACTGGGATGTGGGCTTCTACCTGGGAGCTCAGATCCTTGCTAATGACCCCACCCAGGTGACACTGGCTGCAGAGCAGCTGTACAAGCTCAACGCCCCCATATGGTAGGTGGCCCCCTCTACAGTCTTGGCCTGGTTTGGGCAGTCAGCTTCTGTACCTATGTCCAGTGGCACTCTAGACTGAGCCCTGAGCCAATGACCTGGCCCCTTCCAAACTAGTGCCTATGACACCCAATGCCCGTGATCAGTCTACTCTCCCTGGCTGTGCTAGCTGGTGCCTGGGCTGAATTGAGGACAAGGCTGTGCCTACAGGTATCTGGTGTCCATGATGGAAACCTTCCTGCTGTACCAGCACTTCAGACCCACACCAGAGCCCCTTGGAGGACCCCCACGCCGTGCCCACTTCTGGCTTCACTTCTTGCTACAGTCCTGCCAGTTGGTCAGAACCACCGGTCCCCAAGGGAACCAGTGCTTGGTGAGTCCCATGAGGGGTGGGGGTGCAGGATCTGGGAGAGGGGCAGGCCTCTTCTGACCTATGTATGCCCCCAAACCTTCTTTTCTTCTGCAGGTACTGGTTCTGGAGATGAACCAAGTGCTGCTGCCGGCAAGGCTCGAAGTCCAGGGCATGAATCCCGTGAGCTCAGTGACCCTCAGCCTGCTGGAGCCTGAGGCCCAGGTGAAGTCACGCTGAGTCCGCCCACTCACTGCTAAGCACCTCTTCTCTCCAGCCTTTCTTCCATCCCCAAACCCCTCTTCTGCTTTCTGGCAACCCCTTCTGACTCTCTTTCTTCTCACAGAACGTTCCTTCCAGCTTGACCTTCTCAGTCGCCTCCATCTGTGGTGTCAGGTGAGGGGCAAGGCCTAAGGTGGTCCTGGGGTGGGGGGGGGGCGGCTCTGCTGCTTGCCGGCCTGGCGCTCACTTGGGTTCTTTTCCCCTACCCAGCGCCTCCAAAAGGGACGAGCGCTGCTGCTTTCTCTACGTGCTCCCCCCGGCTCAGGACGCCCAGCTGTGCTTCCCCAGCGTGGGGCACTGCCAGTGGTACGCGCAGCCTCTCGGGGTGGGGGTGCTCTGAGGGCCAGATTCCCAGGGGAATGAGAAAGGTAGGGACTTGTACCTTAGGTGCTTTCGGCACAGGAGGGGGCAGTTTGTGTCCTAGGTACCCCTCCCGCTGGTCTGACCTCCCGCACCCTCAGGTTCTGCGGCCTGATCCAGGCCTTGGTGACGAATCCGGATTCTACGGTGCCCGCGGAAGAGGCGGAGGGCGTGAGGGAGGTGCTAGAGGTGAGGAATGGGGGCTGGGAGCTAAGGGAGGGGGAAGGGCTGCGGGCCCTGCTAAACCCCCATCTCACCCGCCCCGCAGTTTGATTACGAGTACACGGAGACAGGCGAGCGGCTGGTGCTGGGCAAGGGCACCTACGGGGTCGTGTACGCGGGCCGCGACCGGCATACGCGGGTACGCATCGCCATCAAGGAGATCCCGGAGCGGGACAGCAGGTGCAGTGCGCTGGGCGCGTGAGCCCGGCTGAGGGCTAGCGAGGGCCCAGGTGGGCGGGACCACGAGTTGGGAGGGTCGTGTGGCGGGGAAACGCTGTTGTCCTAGTGGTTGGGTCCTAGGGGGCGGGCTCAAGGACGCGAGAGTCCCAGCCCTGCAGGCCCAGACCTGTGGGCAGGAACGTCAGGGACCAGGCAGGCCGACTACGATCTGGAGGGGTCTGTGGGCTGGGTAATAAGAAGCTCGTGGGCGGGACAGATCCTGGGGGCGTGGCCTGGCTGGTGCCAGAGTTGAGTAAGCATCTCTGCCCAAATTGGCCTATTCCTCTCTACCTGCCCCCAGGTTCTCTCAGCCCCTGCATGAAGAGATTGCTCTGCACAAGCGCCTGCGCCACAAGAACATCGTGCGCTATCTGGGCTCAGCTAGCCAGGGCGGCTACCTCAAGATCTTCATGGAGGAGGTGCCTGGAGGTACCTGCCCTGCTGGGATGGGAATGGAACTAGAGGTGTGGTGGGATGTGGGATGGAGCCAGGCAGGCGTGGAGAACCCTCGGGGAGAATGAACCCTAGTGTATGTGGGTGGTGTAGCCCAGAATTAACTGACACAGGGCAGTTGGGTGATGGAATCTGGGCCATGGCATGGGTGTGCCTGGGCAGAGACCTGTGGGCGGAAATCATGACTTTGGACTGCATCTGCCCAGGAAGCCTGTCCTCCTTGCTGCGGTCAGTGTGGGGACCTCTGCAGGACAACGAGAGCACCATCAGTTTCTATACCCGCCAGATCCTGCAGGGACTCAGCTACCTGCATGATAACCGAATTGTGCATCGCGACATTAAGGTAAGCCCTGTAGCTGGCCCACCCTGGCTTGCTGGTAGGAGGACAGGAGGAAATATGGCCCCAGAAAAAGGCTGGCAGTTTAGACTTAGTGGGAAGACCCTTTGCAAACAGTGGGGAATTCATCCAGAAGGTTTCCTAGAGGAGAGAAGTTCAGCTCTGAAGCCAAACCACATGCCAGCTCCCAGGGGGGCATAGTGGGATGGCAGGGGGAGGAGGCTGATAGAGGCAAGATCAGGTTGGGATTCCCAGGAGATGGGGTCCCAGGATAGGCATCCAGTTCTGGCATCAGGAGCCCAGCCTGATGTCCACTCTACTCAGGGGGACAACGTACTGATCAACACCTTCAGCGGGCTGCTCAAGATTTCTGACTTTGGCACCTCCAAGCGGCTGGCAGGCATCACACCTTGCACTGAGACCTTCACAGGTAACAGGGTGTGGGGTGGTGAGTGGGGATGTGGACTTGGGGCAGAAAAATTTGGGGGCCTTCCAGGGAATGGTGCTTTTCCTAGGCATGGAGTTAGATTCCTGATAGGGAATAAAACCCAGGGCAGGTGATTGAGCCAGGGGTGAGAGGATGGAATATAGAACTGGAGCTTGGATAGCTGATGACATTGAGTTTAGTGCCTGAAATGGAGCACAGAACTGTTGCTGCAAGCCAAAGTGGGCGATAGAGTTCAGAGTGGATGATGTAATCCAGGATATATGATAGAACCTACTGTGGGTGAAGGAGTCCATGAATGTGATAGAACCTAAGGTGAGTGAGGAAACTCAGATAGATGTTTAACGAGCAGGGTAGGTGATGGGAACTGTTTTTGGATGATAGAGTTTAGGGTGGGTACAGGCAGCCAGAGGGTAATAGAGCCCCCTGCCATCCCCACACTGATAAAGCCTAAATGAACATTATTGCTACTGCTCCTGTCCTAGGAACCCTACAGTATATGGCTCCAGAAATCATTGACCAGGGCCCACGAGGGTATGGGAAGGCGGCTGACATCTGGTCATTGGGCTGCACTGTAATCGAGATGGCCACAGGTTGCCCACCCTTCCACGAGCTAGGGAGCCCACAGGCTGCCATGTTTCAGGTGAGACCCCTCAGGGCCTGGCTCCTGAGGTGAGGTGGGGACAGACTGGGCCCTGAAAACCTCTATACTTGACCCATGTTTACCCTCCTACCCCCCTCCCAGGTGGGCATGTACAAGGTGCATCCACCAATGCCCAGTTCTCTGTCAGCCGAGGCCCAAGCCTTCCTCCTACGAACTTTTGAGCCAGACCCCCGCCTCCGAGCCAGTGCTCAAGCACTGCTGGGGGACCCCTTCCTGCAGCCTGGAAAGAGGAGCCGAAGCCCTGGCTCCCCCCGACTTGTTCCACGGCACTCAGGTACTGTGTGGGTAGAGGGAGTGAGCACACAAAGGTGAGGGCAGAGGAGCTGTGGAGATGAGAGACCTGAAGGGCCCAGATTGACAGCCTTGTCTCTCCCTCAGAGGCCCCTTCAGCCAGCCCTACTCCTTCAGCTGACTCAGCCACCCAGTCCCAGACATTCCCGCACCCTCAGGCACCTTCTCAGTACCCGCCCAGTCCCCCGAAGCGCTGCCTCAGTTATGGGGACACCAGCCAGCTCCGGTGAGAGCCCAGGGTAGTGGGGTGGGTTCGCTTTATCTGTTTTGTCCTTGTATTCCCTCCTGAAAAAGCTTTCCTTAGAGACCTGGGCACCTTGACCACTTGCAAGGGTGACATTTGGTACCTACCTCCCAAATACTCTTACTTGTATTTAGGGTGCCCCCTCCCCCCTAGTGTTGGCTTTATTTCATTTATCTCTGTGAGGTAGGCATAAAAGTCAAGGAGCCAGGTTTTAAACTCTGGGGCAGAGGTGGCAGGACAGTGTTGTTGCCCGCCCTCTATTGGCTGCTCCCCACCTACACCCAGGGTGCCTGAGGAGCCTGGGGCCGAGGAGCCCACGTCACCTGAGGAAAGTTCAGGGTTGAGTCTACTTCACCAAGAGAGCAAGCGCCGGGCCATGCTGGCCGAAGTGCTCAAGCAGGAGCTGCCCACACTGGCGGAGAATCTGCGACTGGAGCAGGAACAGGTGGGCGGCCCGCCCCAGCGCCCCCTGGTGGTCAAGCCTGACAGGACTCCTACTGGCCTACCCTGCAACCCCAGCCCCCAACCAGCATCTCTTTTGCCTCAGGTGGGAATGCCGGCTGATGACCCCTCTCTTCCTTCTCAGGGTCCCCGTCTGGGCAGGAATCATGTGGAACAGCTACTGCGCTGCCTCGGGGCGCACATCCACACTCCCAACCGCAGGCAGCTGGCCCAGGAGCTGCGGGCCCTGCAAGGGCAGCTGCAGGCCCAGGGCCTTGGGCCTGCGCTTCTGCACGGACCACTCTTCGCTTTCCCTGATGCGGTAAGGGAGCTTTCTCACAGGGCTGCCCATGAAGAGATAATGAGCACCCTGTGCTTGGGAATGTGCAAAGACTATTTGATATTGAAAGATTCCACATCTTCTCCGTGAAGACAGAGACGTCAAGGAAGGGACTTCTGCCCGTCCTAGCTTCCCAGCCCCTCCCTTGACCCCAAGGCGGCCCAACCCACTTGCTTCAGGCAAAAGACTTTCTAGGCCTTTCCAACTCAAGCCCCACATCTGAGGCTTAGCAATCTTAGCAGGCTCCCGTCGTTCCTCTCCAGGTGAAGCAGATCCTCCGCAGGCGCCAGATCCGCCCACACTGGATGTTCGTGCTGGACTCGTTGCTCAGCCGTGCTGTACGGGCAGCCCTGGCAGTACTGGTCCCAGGTAGGTAGGGGAGTGGAGCCTTTCTATGGGTGAGGGTGTGGCCCTTGGGGGCGTGGCGAACACAAATGAAGCTGGTAAGAGGCGTGGTCACCAGGCTTGATTAGGGCTGGAAGAAATGGGTGGGGGTGTGACTAAATGGACATCCTCCAGGCTGACACTGCCTGGCCAGTGCGCAGAGCTCCGCGCCCTCCGCCAGTGTCTGGGGGTCCCAAATGGGTGTTCTCGCCCTGTCTAAGCTCACCCTACTCGGGTTGGTAGAGGCGGAGAAGGATATAGTTCTACCAAAATTAGAAAAGTCAAGTAAAGAGGAGTCCCAGCCAAAACAGCAGGAGACCCTGGCACAGCAGAACCTGCTCCCAAAGGAATCTGAACAGGTCTCCCCACCTCTGATGGTGCAGCTGGGTCTCTTGCGAGCAGAGACTGACAGGTAAGGCCTCTGGGACCCACCCCTGGCTTCTGATGAGCTTCATTCCCCAACTCCTTTCATTGTACTTGCTTTCTGCTCTTCAACAGGCTTCGGGATATCCTGGCTGAAAAGGAATGGGAGTGCCAGGCCCTGGTACAAAAAGCTCTACAGCAGGTGAATGAAAGGGCCAGGACTTGTGCCCTGGCCTCAGAGCCCCCAGGTGAGCAGGACCTGCTTGGAGAACACTAATGGCGGTGTGAGACAGCTTCAGGCAGAAGGCACCCCTGGATTTACCTGGTTTATCCTTGATAGCTGGTACAGTGGACAGGAGCCTGGTGCAGTGGCTACGGGAACTGAATGTGGATTCAGGCACCATCCAGATGGTGAGGAGGAGAGTGCTGGCTTATCCCTGACCCCACCCCACCCCAACCAACTCCACCTCTGCCCATCTTTCAGCTCTTCTTACTTTTTGTCTCTGATGCAGAGATTCTTAACATTGGAGGAGCTTAATATACCTCTCCCATTGTACAGATGAGAAAAACGGAGGCCCAGAAAGGAGTGTGATCTGCCCTAGCATGTTGGCAGTAGAACAGAACTAGCCCCTGGGTCTCTGGTCACATCTTTTTCTGATTTTATTTCTCCCTGTTTTTCTGTATGGGTCTTTGTCCACAACCAGCTGCTGAACCACAGCTTCACCCTCCATGCCCTACTCACCTGTGCCACTAAAGATGACCTCATCTACACCCACATCAGGTATGTCCTGGGCCCTCGAGGGATAACCCATGCATATGGCCTCATGCTGGCCAAATCCTGACCCCTAGTTACAGGCCTGCCTAGGTTTCTCTCTCTGGGGACAGAGGGAGCATCAGGCAGACAGACAGTGGGTACCAGAGAGAGCCCAAGGCCTTCTTCTGGCTGAGCCACTTTGAGCCTGCTACCCCCAGGGGAGGAATGGTATGCCGAATCTGGAGAGCCATCTTGGCACAGCGAGCAGGATCCACGGCCATTATCCCTGGCCTCCAAGAGGCTGAATGAGGGCATCAGAGACAGGAGGCCAGACCCAAAGATGGATGAATGGAGAAGACACAAGCAACTTTTGACACACCCGCCCCGGAACCCAGGAGCAACTAGAGGAGTCCAGGTGGTTGGGGGCAGGGTAGGGCCCAGGCCTACCCCCAGTGGGGTGAACCAACCATAGAGATGCCTCAGGCTCACTGAGCACCATCAGGCAAAGACTATTAAATTGAACACTATTGTACCGTTGGGTCTTGGCAACTTCTGAGGTATTAGGGGAGGGTGGTCCTGGGACCAGCTCTTTAAAGTCTTTGTGTCTGAGTCTAAAGTGCCTTCACCTGGTTTCCTTAACTTCCCTGGTTCTTGCTCTGCATCACCTCATCCCTCCTACCCTAAGCAGACATCAGCCCATTATTGCCCTTAGAATAGACTTTATTGACTTTTGCCAAGGGCAGGCCCTGAGATGGGGGTCCAGAGAAGGGTTTGGTAAGGCTTGTCAGGCAGCTATGTCCTGGGGGCCAGGTTGGTTCTGAGGGGCAGAAGGCCATCCACCCATTCGCATGGTCGCTCCAGGAGTGTCTGCCACAGCTGTTTCTCCTCAGGTGTGGAATCCATCCAGGGCACCTGGAGCCCATAGCTGCTGCCTGGGCAGGGGTGGAGGGCGTGGTCACATTGGACACTCCAGGTCCCAAGGAACACCTGCCTGGTTCCAGGTTATACACTGACACCCCCAGTTCTCAGTGGACACCAAAGCTCACAAAAGGGCAGCGAAATGCCCAAGACCATCCATTGAACCCCTGCCTCCTGGCATCGGCTCACCCCAGGGCCCTGCCCTACTCACCAGTTCCCAGGCTGAGGCGTGTACCCCCTAGCTGGCGGCTGGCCAGGGCTCCATGATCCCAGAGGGAGATCTCAGCACAGGCCTGGCGCAGGTCAGCAGGCCCAAAGCCATCATAAACCATGGTGTGGTTGAATACGGGGCTGAGGCTCTTTCGGACCACCCTTGTCCGTTGGCGGCTGGCCCGGCTGTCATCAGGCAGCACTGAGCTGTGGGGGAGGTGAGTTGGCATCAAGTGGCCACCCCTTCACACTCCCCAGAACCATCCAGTCACTGAGTACTACCTATACTTGCTCACAATGTCCATGTCCTCTGGTTCCTGCCTGAGATCTGGCCTCAAACCCTCACTACCCTGAGACCTTTACACCAGCCTCCTCTCGGGTCTCCTGCCTTTAAAAGTTACAACTCCTATTCACAGGACCCCAGAGTAATGTCTCTGAAATGCAATTCTGCTACTCCCCAGCTTGGTGATCTTCATGGGCACCCTGTTGTCCCCCAGAAGTAGTTTCCAAATTTTTTAAAGCCTTGAAGCCCTTTCTGCAAGATAAAATATGGGTCGGAAGTACAAAATATAAGAGAAAAACAATGTCTGGTTGAATCAGGGCTGGGAACTCAGAACCTGATCTCTGAGGGTGAGGCACCATGAGAGGTCCCCTGGAGCTTACTTTGAAAACCACAGAACTGCATGCCCCACAGCCTGTCCTTTCAGGTCTTCCAAGGAAGGACCCCTATGACCTCCCAGGTCCCAGTCTCAGCTCTCCAACAAGTCTTATAGGTGCCAGTCACTCTGAAATGCAGCTCCTCAAAGGTGTCCTCAACTCGCCCGACTCCAGGCGTTTGCTCAAGCCGTCCCTTTCACCCCTGCTCAGTGGTCAAAGCCCAGACTGGGGATTCAAGGGTGGGTGACTCTAGAAAGGGTTTGTCAGAGGTGGGAAGCTCCACTGCAGGTGAAAGGAAGGGAAGGAGGGAGGTCCCAATGCCCCCTCACCATTGTACGAAAGTATCCAGGGATCCTGAACGAAGAGGCACCAGGTCCTGAGCTCCCTTCACCCAGAAGTGCAGCTCCCCACTCGGGGGCAGTCCTGCACCTGTGAAGAAGCTCGGCTCAGGCCTCGCCCCACAGACAGAGTTCCCCCATCCTTGTGGAACAGGAGTCCCCCGCTTTCCAGGGCCTGTTCAGTTTGGCCTCTGGTGGGCGGTCACTCACCTTCGGAGCCGGCTGGGGTGTACTTGAGGGACAGAGAGAGCCGACCGCGGCTGGAAAGGCCGTCGGGAGAGGGCGCGACCTGTGAGAGGCCGTTTCTTCAGGGGGCAGGGACAGAACCCAAGGGAAAGGGGCCACAAGGGGGTGGAGTCTGCTGATGGGCGTGGCCAACAGGAGAGCCGGGGGTGGGGGGATCTGTGGGCGGACCCTCGAGAGAACGGCCTGGGGGATCTGAATGCTACCACGAAACCTGCCGTCCCGGGCCAGCCAAGGCTTTTCACCGCGTGGTAAGGTTGTGAGGCCGAAGGGAGACTCTGCCGAAGGCGGAGTCCTAGGGGAGTGGGGGGGAAAGCCCGGTGGGGTGAAGGAGGGAGATCTGTACCGCGTGTTCTTCCACACTGATCAGCTGTCTCACCCGGGGCTGCAGGGGGAGCCAGATGGCCTCGGAGTCCCAGTCCCAGGTATCCAGGGGCACTTCGACTTCGCCCAGAAAGATGTTGCGACCTAGGCTTTCGCGGTGCCACACGGACAGGCTCAGCACGCGACCCCGGAGTTCCGCCTGCGGGACGGAGTACTGGGGACAGGAAGGGCGCTTTAATGGAGGACCGCTGATGGCCCCGGCTTCAGTACTGCGCGGGAGTGTTGACAGGGGCTTGTCCTACTACGTTCCTTGCAGGATGGAATCCTGGGAAGCCCCAAAGGGCATTAATGGGAATCTGGACTAGCGCCGTGCCCACCACTAGACTCCCTGTCGTTCCTCCCACAGAACGGAGGGGCGGAGCGACGGGTAAAGACGATACTGTCACTGCCCCTACCACCCGGCCCTCGCAGGAAGGGACGTCTGGTTCATGAATGGGGGTCCGGTCCGTTGTTGCAGCCTCACCCGGAGAATCTCGTTGAAGACGGGGTTCAGATTCCGTTTCTTCACGGCTGTTTTGCGCTTGCTCTGCTTATCCGGGAGGAGGTAGCTTTTGACGTAGCTGGGGCAGGAGAGGCGAGGATAGAAGATAAGGGGGGAGCCCCTTCTGGCGCCTCCTCCCCTGTCCGGGGGCATCCCCAGCACTGCCCGGAACACAGCTTCCCGTGCGGGGCCTCGTACAACGCTTTACAGGGGTCATCTCACTCCACCTCATGCCTCCCAAGACCGCTGTGACTCCCATTTTGAAGATGGGGAAAATGAGGCCAATACAAGTGGTGGGGCTGGAAGGTGAGAACGGCTCCCTGGAGCCCCCGACCCCCCACCCCCACACCCCGGGTGAGGCGCTCACGGGTCTGAGCGGCGGCGCCGCGCGGCAGCCAGGCCCTGACACTGGATCACGTGTACGCACAGCTCCGCAGCGTCCGGCTCATAGCGTAGCGCGAAGTGCACCGAGCCGCACACCTGCACCGCGCCCGCCTCCGCCTCCCCGGACAGGCTCATCTGGCTGCCGCTCAGCTGCGGGCGTGGCGGGGGGCAGGGAGGTCAGGGCTAGGTGCAGCCCTGGGTGCAGGCTCACACTGGGGGGGTATGCGGGCAAAACGAGGTGAGGATGTTAAAGGCATTGGAGTGTCAGGTCTCGGGGCGAGGAAGGGTCAGGCAGGGGGTCGGGATATGGGGAGGTGACGCCCTGTCCCCGGCGCTTTCTCTCCCCCTCACCGTGGAAGAGTTGAGGCTGGACATGGAGGAACTGCTGCTGAGCATGCGGTCGAGCGAGGGGCCGGGCCCCAGGGTCTCCTCCCCGTTCTCCAGGATCTCGGACGCCGCCTGGGCCTGGGGAGGGGAGAAGTGATAGGGGCGCCCCCTTTATCCCAGCCCGTTCCCCGACCGCGCTAGATCCCGGACGGCTCGCTCCCTGCCCAGAATCCGCTCCGGGTCTTGAGAGCAGCCACAGGCCGCTACCCCCTACCTGGGCTGGAGGGTGCTGCGGCTCCACCTCTTCCCCAGAAGGCGGCTTGGGCTCCGGGTCCGCCTCCTCGTAGACCTGTGCACCCCCTGGGCCAGGGGCTGGGGCGGGTCAAAATTTGTTGAGCCAGTCCCTTCCCTCCCGCCCTGAGCAAATTTGGAGGGACTGGTTTACAACCCCCAAGACCTGCAGATTTGGGTCCCCAGTGCTGCCCTGGGGTCATCCACATGCCTCCGCTGACCCCCAATGCAGGGGAGGAGGAAGGTCACTGCAGGTGATTGGGTCACTTAGAGTCGCCTCGGATCCTCACAACCTCCCGGTGCTCCCCTACACACATCCGCCCATTTACCTTCCTGGGCCTGGGGCTCCTCCTCATGATCTGAAGACTTTGGAAGGCCATATGGTGAGGGGAAATCAGGTCCCTGAAAGAAGCAAGGGGTAGGGGTCACAGTGGGGACTAATGATGAAGGGGTCAAAGGTTATGACGGGGTCAGAGGTCAGCAGCTCCAGCTGGCTGCCCCAGCTTCAGATTTAGCGTAGCTTTCAGGGCAGGGCTGGCAACCAGCTGCAGGACCAGTTAGGCCTGTACCTCACACCCTTTCACACTTCAGCGCCTGCTTTGCCTGCCTCCCTGGTGGGGGACAGTAGTATGTAAGTCCCAGACCTCACCCAGCTCAGTCCTCACTCCATGAGTAATAGCTGGATTCAGAGATTCCCTTAGAGATTCATATGCCCAAGTGACAGAAGAGGATGACAGTGGCCCAGACCAGGTTCTCCTGATTCTTGGTTCTCAGGGTGAGGCTCTTTCCCCAGCATATCCCACCTCCACTCCAGTGGCACTTTACGTTCATTCATTAATTCATTCAGTCAGTCATTACTCACCTCAGCCTTGCTGAGCCTCTCCTGGGGGGCCTTGTCTATGGGGAGCCTAGGAGTAGGGAGAGGTGGTTGTCAGGAATGGGACCCGGGTGACTGGTAGGTATGCTTCCCTCCCTGCCACACCTGCTCACCTGGGCTCCAGCTTCTCTTCAGTCTCTTTCTCAGCAATCTCAGGCTCCTTATCGCTGCCTACAGCCTGGTCTCCTGCATGCAGGTGAGAAGCTCTGTGAACCCCCTTCACAGGAAGTCTGACCCTGGGAGATGCTACCCACCTCCTGTAGCCCACAGAAGGGTGGTCCCACCCAAAGGCACACAGTACCAGGGGCAGCCAAGACTGGAACCCATGGGCTCCTTCTGTGTCCACATATCCCCGGTACCCCAGGGCATGTGAGGCCTGCCCCATTCTGAGGCTCTCCTCTCACCCCTGGAACTCTTCTTCCTGCGGATAGAGGCTCGAACAAGGTCAGAGCCAAGGTGAGCATGGTGGTGCCGTTGGGTGCGTGCTTCCTGGAACCAGTCCCCCGTCAGGATTTTCAGCTGCCCAGGGTCTGCCAGTGAGGCCCGGAGCTTGCTGGAGGATAGGGGAGGCTGTGGCTACTCACTACTCACCCAACCAACATTCCTGCCACCCACTCTATGCCAGGCCCCTGTATCTGGGGCCAGAGACACAACAGCAAATCAGATTTGAACGCTGCTCCGAGGGCGCTCAGGCTGGTGGGGAGACCGAGTCCGGAATAGACAAGTACACTACAGTGAGGTAGGTGCCATGATGGATGTAATTGGGGTTCTCCAGGTAGAGGAGAAAAATTATTATTCATTAAAGTGACTACTGTGCACAATCCCTCCTAATTCTATAAGGTAGGGGTCCTTGGCCCCATTTTGTAGATGAGGAGAGTGGTGGGGGGGAGGTCAGTGAGTTGCCCAAGGTTATATCTCTATGAGGTGTCTGTCTGTCAGTCTCCAAGCACTACTTGTAAGTCCCATACTCCTCTGCCATTGTGCTCTTCCAGGGAGAGGGAATGGCCTAGACGTGAAGGGTGTGTGTGTGCAGGGACTGTGGAGTGCCCAGGTGGCTGTGGTGGACACTCTGTGTATGTATGTCAGGAGTGGGGGTCAGTGTTGGAAGATGAGATGGGGGGGGCTGGCAGGGACCAATCAGGGAAGCCTTGTGGACCTCACTTAAGAGCTTGCCCCTAACATGAGGTGCTGGGGAGCCATGGAGGGAAGGGGGTGGTTGTTCAGCAAGGGATATGAAGGACAGATCTGAGGAGCTCCAGCTGCGGCACGGCAGCTGGCCTGGCACGGTGAAGGAGCTGACGCAGCCTCCCTGGGAGAGGTGTTAAGCCGAGTTGGCCAGGGGTGGAGGGTACCAAAGGGCAAAAACAAGAACTACCCAGATATCTGACAGGCTGCATGTTGGTGGGAACAGTGCCTGAGGCCCCCTCCTCCTGAGCCCCTGCCCTGCCTCACCTGACCCGCCCCTCTTCCAGCTGGCGCAGGTCGGCATCACGCTTCAGGACTTCAGCAATGGCGTCCTGCTCCTCCTCTGTTAGGAAGCTGAGGTCCAACAGTCTGTCGGGCTCTGGCTCATGTGCCATTAGGAGGCAAGGTGGGGCCCAGAGCCCCTCTTGAGATGGGTAGCCCCTCTGGGGCATCAGTTGGGGCAGTGCCCCCACTGGGCACACATGGATTCCTGGGGGCAAACCAGAGGTCAGGTCAAGCCCTGCCCAAATACAGGGCACATCCTGGAGCCAACTGCCCTTTCAGCCCAAACAAATACCAGGTAATGGGCAGGGTATATCCCCAAGAAGGCTGAGGTCAAGGTGGCATGAGATGCACCCATGGACACATGCATACACTGGTCCCTAAGGGTCACACTCGAAGATGGGTACAGAGACATGCATGCACACACACTGATACACACGTAGACATGACTACCCACAGTGAGAAGTACACTTGATCGCACATGTGTACTGATACCTGTATAAAAACAGGCACACAAACACACCTGTTCTTCCATGAAGGGCCCCGTGCAGTCATAGGCCCAGACCCATGCCCAGACCAAGAAATGGACCTAACATATTCTTAAACCTGTACACAGGCCTGTGCACACAAACGAAGGCAGGACCCATCAAGCTGGTTCAGCTATACAAGATAAGTCCTGGAACAAAGACGTGTCCCTAGATATACACAAATCACACAGATTTTGCACATGTACATTTGCCCCTTGCCAACTGGATTGTGAGCTCCATGAAAACAGGGACAGGTCCTCACTCCCAAAGTCAGTACAATGCACACAGCAAATGGTTGGTAAAAGTTTGATTAAAGACAGAAATACATCTGCACACACCTGGGGAATGCATACACACAAATGTGCACCCAGACTCACAGGCACACACACATATCTGCTCACCACCCTTGCTCCGGAACCTCCCAAGCTGGGTCCCCCTCCTTCCACCCTTCACCTCCACCCTGCCCTGTCCCATTTGGCCTTCCTGTCTGAGGCAACCTCCTCCCCAGCCCATACCCCCAACTTCCTCCCCCCCGCCTCCCTGAGGTAACCGCTGCACCCACTCCCACGGGCCTCAAGCCCAGGGATGCCCTCTTTTCCGGACCACTGGGCCCCTTGTTCTGGCCACATGGGTCCCCCACCCCTGACCCAGGACCTGGCTGGGGTCCCAGTGGTGGAGGCCCAGTGCTGGCAAAGCAGCTCCGGCTGCTAAGGTGACTCCGGAAGCAAAACATTTGCCCAGCGCTGAGGGGCATGTGGGTGTGTGTACGTGGCAAGGGGCCCATGACTGAGCCATAGGCAGAACAGAGCCACAACCTGAGCCCACTGGGCGATCTCTCCTCTCCTCCCTGTCCCTCCTGTCCCCTCCCATGCCAGGGCATCAGGCAGGGCTGCGATGGAAAGGCAGGTCCCAGCTTGTGCCTGTTGCCTGTGCTCTGTGCCCTCCCAGCTGAGTCAGTGTCCAAGCCCAAGTGAGCCCTCTCCCCTGCTGCCCCACCGCTCACCCAGGAGTCTGGGGTTCCGCATGTTTCTATCAGGCCATCGGATATAGTGTTGTGTGAATGCCTGCACGCTAGCACTAGTTCCTGCACACCTGCCGAGTGTTGCAAATGCAAAGTTTGGGGCTTTTCTGTGGCTGGTGTGTGAGCCTATGGTGATGTCCCTTGAGCTGTGCTGTTTCCAGAGTTGGTCTTGCAAGTATGTCTTTGCACTGTGGATCTATGATTGTGTATTTTAGGGGTGTGAATGTCATATCACTGCATGTATCTCTGTGTGTCATGTCACGGCATGATGCTGCAGAGGTGGCTGTTATCTGTGTGGTGTGTTCAGTGACTTTCTGGGTGACAGTGACAGCGTTGTGTGGTATGTGCTGTGTGTATTTCCTCCTGCGCTGTATGTGTGAGTGGTCTGTGTGTTGTGGTGTGTACTCTGGTGCCCCAAGGGCCTTCAGGTGTGTGTGTATGAGTGTGGAGGTGGGGGGACATTCTGCAAAACTGACCCTGCTCTTATCCTGCAGGTCTGCCTGGGCTGTGGACATCTGAGCCCAGAGTCCCGAGCAGCACCCACCTTCCTGAAGTCACTTCTCTTCCAGAAGCAGAAGCAAGTGTCTGGTTCGTCTTGCTCTGTTTCAACACTGTGGGATAGACTCATCGATCAACATAAGGGTCTGTCCATCTGTCTGGTTGTTCCAGTCCCAGACACTCCTGCCTTCCCCCACCCCAAGGTCCCAGAGGGTGTTCAGGAAACCAGGTGGCAGTGCCTGCCCCTCGGGACACTGGCAGGGGACCCCATCCCACGGTGTGTTACCTGTAGGGGTCCAGTATAGACGGAACACCTTCGTAGGCTGGCCCTGGCTCCCCAGGCAGTTGAGTTTCAGGGACTAGGAGAAGAGCAGTGAGGGACTAAGGCTGACTCAACCGGCAGCCCAGCAGAGTAGCTGCCCCACCGGGAGGAGGAAACACCTTCTCAGCAGGGCCTGATGCAAAACCAGGCCTGGATTCTGGCTCCCTGGGGGTGCACCTCAGCCTCTGATTTCAGAAAACCTACAGCTGATATGCTGGGTGGGGGACACCTGAGGCTTGACCCCAGCTTCTCTGCAGATTTACTTTGTAACTCCTCTAGCTCCTCAGGGCCTTGGCTGCCCCATCTCTAGGATGGGTAGCAGCCCCACCCTGCCTGCTGAGGAACTGATAGGAACTTGCTTTGAAAGCAAAGTTAGAAACTTTCTAAGAACCAGGGTAATGCAAGGATTGCAGACTGCAAGCTGACAACCTGGGGTAGAGTTCCTGCTCTGCCACTGTGTGACCGTGAGCAGGTCTCTTCACCATCCTGAGCTGCAATTTCCTCCTATACAAACTGTGGGCAGCAGAGTGCTAAGGGCCTGTTATAAAAGAAATGAAAGTGCCTGGCACAAGCTGCAACAGAGTGGGTACCAGGTGTCCCCTCTCCAACATGGTCCTTTTTGACAACCACTGCCCCTCTATGTCCACGTATGCCTCCTGGGAGGTGCTGGTCACAGCAGAGCTGCTCTCCCTGCAACCCAGGAGGCCGGGACTCTTCCAGGGCCAAAGTGAGGCTCCCACACCCTAGTGAGCCCTTTTGAACACCCTATTCTGCTCCCAGATTCTGCCCCACCTTAAGAATGGGTTTAGGCCCTAGGTTATATTTGCTTTGGACCATGAATTGAGGCCACACCAAATCAGATTACCCCAAGTCTGCTTCATTCTACTCTGCCTGTCCTGCCAGTGACCCTTCCAGCTGTGGATTAAAGATAGAGGGACGCTCCCAAAGGAAGTGGGGCAAGGAATGGCCTCTAAATGAAACCTCCCTTCTGTCCCCCTCATTGGAGCTGGCTCCCGAATGAGCATCTGAGGGTCCTTCCTCCTCTGGGCCCAAGGTCCAGCTTTCCCCATTTAGTTTTTGGCAAGTCAATCTTATTTTCTGAGCCTCTTTTTCCTCATCTGTTAAAGGGGGTAATAATCTCTCCTCAGATGGTTTTTACTACAGTTCTATGAAATCCCCGCAGGCCCTTCATAAATACATGAATGCATTTGCATACACACTATCAGTTGCATGTCCACGTGGGAGGGGTTCCTGTGATGCCTGCCTCCTCCACCAAGTCTCCCCAAAATGGAAGGAGGGTGGCCAACATCATCCTCACTCCTTCCCATCCTGGTCCTGGCTCCTCCCAAGGATGTTTCTCTACCCCCCAGCCCTACACCTCTCAGCAGCCCTCATCCCTGGAAGGCATGCAATTTTGTGCCTTGCTCTTCCAGCTTCGGAATTTCCCTTCCTCTCTCTGATCTCCTGTCTTTACAGCTCTGACTCTCCTTGACTCTGATATTTCTGTCCAACTCTCCTGTTGTCAACTTAACCTGAACACTGGCCCCTCCACATCTGAAACCTTATTTTCAAGTTTCCACTTCTGCAAACAGCCCCTATGTCCTGGTCCCTAGGCCTGCTGGGCTTCTTGCCAATTGCCAGACTGCCCCCACTTCCCTCCCAACTCCCTTGCCCTTCCACGGCCCAGGTCTCGGTGGGTCCCTGCCCAGCCTCCTCTAGAAGGCTCCTCCTGCCCGTCTCCAGGACTCCACACTCAGCCCCTCCAGCCCTTTGTGGCACAGCTGTCAGAGGGCCCTGTTAGCACCCCACTTTGTCATTTCCCAGCTTAGGAAGGTGTCAGCAGACAACCAGAGTACAAATGTGCTCCAAACCAGTCCAGCCTCCATCAAATACTTTCACTGACAGAAGTCTCATCATTTCCCATGACAGTCTATCCTCCTTTTGGGCTGACTAACCCCTCAGCCTGACTCTCAGGACCCCACCTGGCTCAGACCATCCTTGTCACCTACATTCTTAGAGCTTTACTACAGGGCTCCCTGTCCCTTGAACACAAGCCATCTGTGCTCCCTACTCCACCCCTGCAGAGTGATTTCCCCGCCTGTCGCCACCAGCTGAGGGGGCCTCAATGCCTCTGCACTGTGGCCAGTCTCCAGGCAGCTCTCCAGTCAAGAGGCCCCAGATCTGGGCTAAAATTGTGGCTCTGCAACATGGCCCCCTGTGGCCTCAGATCAATGACAATCTCTTGAAGCCTCCCTCTCTCCCTTTATAGAACAGGGACAATAGTAGCCATCTCACAGGACTGTTTCCTTTTTCTGGCCTCCAGCATCCATTCTCTCTTCCTCTTGGTCACAGGGCCCCAGTCCTTTGTAGAAATAGACCCTCCCCACTTTCCCTGCTTGTGCCCCAGCAAGGCCACTTCGTAGGGTGGTTCTGAGTGTGGGCTCCAGAGCCAAGCTGCTGGGTTTGAACATGGTTCCAACTTGTCCTACCTCTGTGACCTTGAGCGAATCAGTCTACCTCCCTGCGCTTATTTCTTCGTTGGTAAAATGGAGACAGCACACCTACCTCACAGGGCTGTGGTGAGGGTAAAGGACGATACTTTAGGACAAGGCCTGGGACATAGTAAGCACTCTGTTGGGTGATCTTCATGGCACTTATTTATGTCCTGTCTCTGCAAGGCTAACTGAAAGTTCTGCTAGGCAGAAGCAGTCCTTAAAACTTTTTTCTATTTTGCTGTGGTTGTCCTCTGTACTGGAACATTTTTTCCCCCTAACCAACTCTCAGATGGACCCCAATACGCAAAACAATTTTTTTTTTTTTAGCTGAGCCATCCTGCCACCTGTTGGCAGCTCAGCGGCAACTCTGCTTGGGCCGGGGGTTGAACCGCTGTTGCTCAGAGCTCGCACTCTTGAGCGAGCTCTTAACTAACTGAGCCACTTGGCCGGCACTGCAAAACAGATTTTTAAAAATGAAATTGCTCTGATGTGGGGGGCCCACACTTCTGTCCAGAGCACCCCCAGGCTTAGAAACCACAGTACTTCAAGGACTGTGATGAGCTGACAGACACCTGATCCAGGGCTCTGACTGCCAGCAGCTAGAGCTGTCTTCAAGGCATACCCAGGATAAACACAAAGGGCCCTCAGGATTCACAGACCAAATCCTTTGCTAGTTAAACTGTGACACCTGGCATAGGGCAAGGTTAGGGAAGACTTTACCAAGGGAGGGGCTTTTAAGCTGGGCCTTGGGAAGAAAGGCCACAAATTCTTTTTTTTTAAGATTTTATTGGGGAATTGGTGGAGGGGAACAGACAAGTTGCTGTCCTTTTGTTCTTCAGTCTAATTGTGGAAGATGTCGCTTCACTCCCCCATGTTGGTATTATCATTGCGCTCTTCCCAGCTGAGGCAGTTGGTCTCCGGAGAAAGGCCACAATTTTAACAGGTGGAAAGCGAAGGACCAGAAGTGGGAGGATGCTGAAGAACAGGTGCTACACCATTTTGTTGGAGAGCTGGGTGTGACGACAGTGAGGAGAATGCCAGAGAAGTGGGGGCACTGTGGACCAGGACAGTGACCCGATCACTGCGGGTCAGCATGCAGAACTTGGCAATGTGACCGATGGATATGGTGGAGGCCAGGGACTGGGGCCATTCTCTTGGCTTACCCCAAACTGTGCACTCCTGGTTGAGGGGACAGGTCCAGGGCTCTGGTCTGTCTAGCCCCAACTCCCAATCCGACTGTCAAGTTCTTCCCAACAGGGAGTATGGGGAGGGGTTTCAATACTCACTTGCCTCAAATAGAGGAGAGAGCTTTGGGATGGTGGACGAGGAATGGTGGGGAGCTCCTAGAGCCTGGGCCCAGGGCAGGTTATGCCGTATTTCCCCATGTAGAAGATACACCCTTTTGTTGAAAAATTTGGGGTCTAAAAGCTGGGTGTGTCTTATACAGTGGTTGTATGAGCGCAAAAACAAGTGCGAAAAAAGCAGGAAATGCAAGTAAAAAGAAAAACTACAACCACTGTATAAGATGCACCCAATTTTTAGACCTTAAATTTTTCGAAAAAAGGGTGCATCTTATACATGGGGAAATACAGTACCTGAAGGATGCTGGCGTCCCTGTAAGCTCCAGGTACTGAACGGGGACTCAACTAGGTTCCCTTGCCAGAGGCAGAGGTACCCAAGGAGATACAAACTGAAGGGGTGAGGGGACCATTGAAGGAAGAAAACAAAGACAAGGCACTGACTGGAGTTAACTCTTTATTTCCTGCCCAGGAAGCCCCGCACAAAGGACTCCACGGGGCGGGGTGAGGCAGCAGCACAGGCTCTTCCCACAACTCGAAGAGAAGGGGGGTCCATGGTGGGTGGGAGGAAACAGCTCCACTTTAACTCCCTGATGGTGCTGGTTGCTCTGATGGCCCCCCACATCTTGGACCCAAGGGGTGCCATCACCAGCGCAAGGCCCACACCTGGGGCCGGGACCCAGCTTTGTTTACATTGCTGTGATCTACAGGGGGTGACTCTGGACACATCAGCGTCACTCATCTCTCCAGCCTGGCTGGGGAAGCCCAGGCCCCAAACCACTGGGGGGAAATGGGCCCAAATACTCGGAGGCCCTGGGAGGGTGGACAGAGGGTGCTGCATGGGCTGGAAGACCCTAAGAGACGGGGCACAAACTACCCCTAGTGCAGCTTCTGGCAAACATCGCAAGTGGGGGCCCATCCAGCCCGACTGAACCATTCTAGGGGCCAGTGGTAAAGGCCCCAGGGCAGCCTAGCTTATGAAGACTTCTTAGTCTTCCCCACCCTCCCCAGGACCAGAGCCCTGGCAGGACAGGCTCTGGCAAATCCAGCTCTGGCCCCTGTGCTGCCTTGTCTGGTGGGTCCTAATGTCCTCCTGTCCCCCACCAGGCACTGGGCTGAGGCGGAGGGAGCCCAGCACAGTGGCAGGAGCAGCTCTACAGAGGGAAGCTAAGGCCTTTCCAACAGATGAACAGGAGGGTACCCTCAAGCGCTAGGGTCACAAGCCTGGGAAGGAGTGGACAGGGAACTTCTGAGTGACCAGTGAGACACAACAAACAAATACCCCTACCCCATGCTCATCCTCAGCCTAATCCCACCTAGCCCAGACTCCTGGGTCAAAACCAGCAGGTCCATCCCTGCCTTTTGGGGTGAGGAGAAAGGATCTGGAACCAAAAGGGGTGGCAGATGCCTCCTCAGGAGCCTGGTGGGTCCAAGGCCATGGGGCAGCCATCACCGCAGGTTAAAGACCAGGCTGATGGTTAAGATGATACCCAGGAGGAGGACGAAGGGCAGCCAGGTCTTCACAAAGGCCCCGACGCTGAATGAGAGGAGAATGGGTGGGAAGGGCCTGGTGAGTGGGTGTGCCACCCAGAGTCCCATCCATCCAAACCCAGAAGGGGCGGCTGCCCCCGAGGAAGCGCCTGGAACCACTCCCTCACCTCCAAACTTGGTCAACCAGGGGACTGGGCCGGGTCTGGCACCCACTACGGAGCACTGCCAACTATGATCCTGGGCAGGGGCTAGTCCAGGCTCTTAGTGGAGATATGACACCTCTCGGGGTGGGTATAGGAGACATGTCCACCTTCTCTAGGCTTTATTGGCTCCATCCTCGATCACCCCTATCTCTGGGGAGAGGTCTCCAGCGAGAGGACCAGGAATGTGTCTGGGCATGGAGGCCAGGAGCACTATCTGCCCACAGCCCTCATGTGGGCCTGCTGGGGGGGGGAGGAGTCAGGAAGAGTTAGCACAGTGTTGTGGCTGGAGTCAGGGCTCTGGGTTCAAGCCTGGTTCTGCCTCAGGCTGTGTGGCCACAGTTACAGTCTTCTCAGGGGACCTCTAAAAGCCTTGGGACTAAAAAAAGGCCCTAAAAAGAGGCCCCTGGGGGATCTCCTCTTTAGAAGCTCTTAATAGAGTGCAGCTGGAGGAAAGCTTAAAGAGGTGGCTGGGCTGCCCAGGTGTGCTGGCTCCCAAGTGGGCGGGCCACTCAACCTGAGCTGCCTTTACCTGTGAATTGGGACTAATGCCTTTGACCTCACAGGTTGTGAGGCTGTGGCTTCAAAGGTCCTCGCAGGTCACCACTGGGGCCCACCTGACCAGAACCCTGCCTCACACAAGGGATGCTGGGAAGGGACCCTGTGGGGCAGTCAGCCACTCTCCTGTGAAGGCCTACCTGTTCATTTGACCTGAGCACAGGGGTCTGTGCTCAGTCTCCCTGAGGAGCCAGAATCATTATCAAGAACATAATCAAGAGCAGTTTCAGCTTAGAGAGGCCAAGGCAGTTACCTAAGATCTCACAGTGAGCCAGTGACAGGGCTGGGTTTGGGACCCAGGTCCAGTCGGACTTCAGCACAGCCACCTTCCTCTCCACCAGGAACTTAGCTAATTGTTCTAGCCCAGGGGTCGGCAAACTGCGGCGCGCAAGCCACATGCGGCTCTTTGGGTACGTTCCATCTCAAAAGTTTGCCGACCCCTGGAAGAGCCAATCCTGTCCCTCACAACAATTTAAAAATTATTCGATAGCCATAAATATATTTTTACATAATCACCATTATGTGAATAATATCATTTAAAAATTTTATAAATGAAACTATGATAGTTTTATTTTCATTTTCAATTTTACTTCAGAGCCACGTGTACGTACCCAAAGAGCTGCATGTGGCTCGCGAGCCGCAGTTTGCTGACCCCTAGCAGCTCTTCCGTCTCAAAAGTTTGCCAACCCGTTCTAGAACCTTCATAGCTCCAATCAGCATCTGTTTTGTCCCTGCTGGCTGAAGGACTCCAGAAATGGCCCTGCTGGGATCCTTGGGAGAGCAGCCCCAGGGGAGGGTGGTGGGCGGGCAGCTCACCTGACATACTTCCCATAGAGCAGGCAGAAGAAACAGAGTGTCACCATGTTCCAGTTGGTGCTGTTGTTGTAGCGCATCAGGTTCAGGGCCAATGCCACGTGCGAGTGGCAGTTGTCACAGCAGAGATTGTGCTGGAGATGCAGGAAGGGTGGGGTCAGTCTGGACTGTGGGGAAGCTCCCACTCTGGTTCCCCTCAGGGGTGGCTCACGTACCATGCGGTGTTTGTACTCTTCAGAGGCGTCGTGCACAGCTGTGTCCCATGCATTGGGTCCGCTAGCGTATACCTGAGCAGGGTCCAACTTCCAGTACCTGAGGAGAGACGGTGGCTCTGGGCACTGGCTCAGCCCCATGAATGTTCCCTGATGCCTGCTCTGTGGAGAGCCCTGAGCTGGGTGCTGGGGATGCAGGGGTGAGTCAGGTCCAGGGAAAGGGCCATAGAGCAGACAACACAGTGTGACACAGTGATCCAATGCCATGTGGATCCTGGGAAGGACACGAACTAACTCAGCTGGGGGCTGTGAGATGCTTCCTGGGGGTGACACCTGAGTCCAGTCTGAAGGAGGAGGGATTAGCAGGCACAGGATGGGGAGTGGGTATTCTAGGCAGAGGGAACAGCTTGAACAGAGAAAGAGGCACAAAACTGTGTAGCGTGTAACCTGGAACTGCTGAAGGCAACAGGGTGATGGGATGTCGGAAAGTGAAGTTGGAGATGCAGGTGGGACCACATCGTAGTGGTCTTGAATGCCACCCTGAGGAGTTTATCCATCATAAAGCATTCTCCCCATCTCCCCACACGGGAGACTAGAGTGAGTGGGAGCAGCCTGTGGAGCTGAAGCTCATAAACCTCAAGCTGGGAGAGACTCCAAAGGTTCTCAGGCCAGGGAGAGCTGGGAGGTTAGTGCGCCCTCTGGCTGCTGTGAGGGGAATGGCTTGGTAGAGGAGCCTAGAGACGGGACCTTTGAGAAACCAAAGTGGCCGGGACTGGGGCTGCTGAGGGGGTTCCTACCTGGAAACAGGTGCCCTTAAAACTGTCTTCAAAAAGCAGCCTGGCAGTAGACACCCATCCCAGAGGCCCTTTGCCCACATTTCCACCTGCCCAAGGAAGCCAGCAGGCTGCCTCTGCTGTGTGGGGCACCAACTCCTTGGGTCCCACCCCTCCTGGGTGTAGCCTCTGACAACAGAGCACCCGATGCTGTTCTGAGCATACAGATGACTAAGGCATTGTCGCCAGAACCACAGCTGAAGTGGGTCCTCCAAGACAGAAAAAATGAAGTCCAAAAATTCCAAGCACACCAGTAATAGCTCTGAGGGGGCTTGAACTGCTTTGATTCTCTCCAACCAGAACTTTGCAGCGGAGTTCCGAACCATGCCTCCCTTACACCTTACATGGCATTGTTTACTCCTGGAGAGGCAGGAGGTTTTGGAGTGGGCCGGACCCGGGTGAGACCTAGCTCTGCTACCTCCTGTGTGATCCTGACCAAATCTCTTCCCTTTCCTCGCCCTTCCAATGGAGTGGAAAACACGACCTTGCAGAGCTGAGGCAAAGCCTGTGGATAAAGGACCTGGCCAGGAGGAACCTGGCCCTAAGGCCCGTCACACGAGTGCTCATCACTTACTTGGCAGGCTTCCCAAAGGCCATGTTGTCTTCCTGTTGAGGGACAAGAGCAGAGGTGAGTGGGGAACCCGCACCTAGCCCGGAAGACAGACCTGGGTAGGTGGTGGGAGTGCACTGACTTAGGAGGGGGATGTCAGATGGGCAGAAATGGGGCCCGGGCCCTGCTCTGGGGTTGGCCTGGTGTCTGAAGTGCCCGCAGCAGCTGTGGGAAGAAGGCAGTGTGGCAGGAGTGCACAGAGCATAGTACTCTGAGACCAAAGACACGGGGTGCCAGCCAGGAGTGCCCCTTGGGGTGGCTCCCAGGTAACTCTCTCACGCTTTCTGGGCCTCATTTTCTCCAAGTTCTCTGATCAATCTCTCATCTTTGATCACAGGGAGGCAGTTTCCTTTGTGGTATGAATGAGGACATCCTCTGACCTCCTGACCCGACAGTGCTGCCCACACAGAGCCCGTCTGGCAGTCTGGCTGCATTCACAGCAGGACGGGGAGGGGGAGTGGGGCTCGAGAGGCCTCCCAAGTCCTAAACCTGCCACATAGGATGTGTGGTATGGGAGTTATGCAGGGACAGATTCTGGGTTCAGAATCTGCTGACAAAGCCGGTCAAAGATGAATTATCATAAACATATACGCCAGTGAAAGTAATGGATACGAAAGACGTTTGTCATGTTAAGAGGACCATGATGACTATTCATGTAACAGGCTGGTGCCACCACACCTTCATTCCAGCCTTTGATGAAGCTGCAGCCTCGAAACAGGCAGGATGCAAGCCCACTGCACCCATCTTGGGCACAACCCCAGGAGTAGACCTGAGGGCACAGTTGAGCCAGTCTAGAAGGCCCACCCCCAGGGAACCATGTTAGCTTCCCCTGTGCCCCCACCTTGTGACTCCCACCTTCTGAAGGTCCAGAGATGTGGTTCCTGGATGGTCTGACTCTCCACTCTTGCCTCTAACCCCTACCCATGTCTTGGTACCCAAGGGGTGGGCAAAGGGCTGGGTCAGTTACTTAAGAATCCTTCTGGCCACACTGCCCTCCTGGCCTGTCCTAGAGGCAAGAGAAGGGGTACAGGGGTCAAACACTAGTGAGGAGCAGAGGGCCAGGGCCATGTGCTATGTGCATTCTCTTGGCTTTGGTGGAGATAAGGCCAACCTTCCATGGAAGGCTTGGAGCCCTCCAGAGGGTGTGGAACGGAGACTCACCGAGACAAAGTAGGGGCCAGCGAAGTCCCGAATGACTCCTGTGGATGTACAGATGCCCATGTGTCCGATGATGGGGAAAAACCACCTGTGAGGAAAAAAAAGGACAGGGAAGGAACAGAGCTTACTGGGGGTAGGGGGGGTCTTCCAGTAGGTTAGACGACATTGGGACACTCCGTCCATGTGAGGGACTGAGACTCTAACATTGTGTGATGAATGCCATTAGGATGGCCGGAGGGGTTGGGGGAGCACAGAAGAGGGGCAAATGAACAGCACAGTGGGATACCACCCTACCCCCGGAGAATGCTGTAACTGCAAGGATGAGAACACTGAGGAGCAGCCGGACCTCTCATTCATTGCTGGTGGGAATGTAAACTGTTTCTGCCACTTTTGAAAACTGGCCATATACTCTATGCCTCAGCAATCCACCTCAGAGCACACACCCAACAGAAATGAATCCTCATGGCCACGAAAGGCCTGCACAAGTGTGGTCACAGCACCTTTGTCTAAAGTAGCCGGAAACGTTTCTCAAAACTCATTGAACTGCAAGCTTCAAATTACATCTCAATAAAGTTGATCTAAAAAACAGCTGGAAATAATCCAAATGTCCAACAGTAGTAAAACGAGTAAGTATAATAAATTGAGGGTACAGCCATATAATGAAATAGCAAGTAACGATGAAAAAGAACTTCTACACACAACACAGATTCTCAGAGATATAAGGCAGTGAAAGAAACCTTACACGAAGGTTCGTACATATTGTTCTGTTTATGTGATGTTCAAGGAAAGGTGAAAGTAATCTATGGTGCTAGAATGCAAACGAGGGATGATCTCTGTGGTAGAACTGATGGGCACAAGGGAGCTCTTTGGGTACCAGAAATATTTTCTTTTTTTTTTTTTTTAAAGATTTTTATTGGGGAATTGGGGGATGGGAACAGCGCTGGGGAATTGGGGGAAGGGGGACAGACAAGTTGCTGTCCTTTTGTTCTTCAGTCTAGTTGTGGAGGACGTTGCTTCACTGGCCCAAGTTGGCACCATCATTGCGCTCTTCCCGGGCGAGGCAGATCAGTCGCCGGCTTCTGGACGGCCTCTGGCCGCTCACGCTGGCTGCTGGCTACACACGGTAGCCCATGGCAACCCACTACAGCAGGGGCTGCAGCCTACGCGGTCAACCGCAACTCATGGCAGCCCAGCTTCAGGTCGAGCTGTTGTTCAGCATCTTAGCTGTAGAGGGCAGTGTCACTGGCCCTCATATGTGGGATCCGAACCGGGGCCCTCTGGCATCCCAAGCCAGCTCTTAACCAACGTGCCACTCGGCCGGCCCCAGAAATGTTTTCTATCTTGAGCTGTGTGACATAAGTGTATACATATGCAAAAATCCACTGAGCCCTCCCTATACTTAAGATTTATATGCTTTACGGTATATGTTATATATCAATAAAAGTTTTTTTTTAAAGGTGCGAAAGGCATTTAAACCAATCTGTGGGTGGGGGTTTGAGGGTCAGGGGGGAGTTCAGAGGGGAAATGATGAAGACACAGTATGGGCAAGGGTAGAGGTAAAAAAAAGTGGTGTATTCCAGAGAGACAAAAAAAATGGTGTATTCCAGGAGCCAAAAGTTCAAATTCTTAAAAGCCATGGGCATTTTTTAAAAACCAAATCTCAGATGGATCCCAATATACAAAACACACAGGAACCCCGGATCTATCTGTAGTCTGAGGACTATGGCTCTAAAGGCCTAGGTGCTGGAGAGACTGATGCAGTTTAAGGGCTCACAGGGCCAGTGGCCAAGTGCTGGTCTGGTCTCAAGGCTGCACCTTGCGAGGGAGGTGGAGGCAAAACCCAGAGATGCAGCTCAAGGAAGCTATTATGTGGGGCTGGGGCAGTCAGCAAAGACTTCACAGAGGAGGTGACTTTTAATCTTGACCTGTGAAAAAACAGGATGTCAACAGGTAGAAAGCAAAACTCCGAAGCGCAAAGTGCTGCACGTATCTGGAGAATGGGAGGGGGACAGGAGTGGAGGGAAAGAGGGTGGCTAGTTCAGCGGCTAGTCTGGAATACTGGTAAGAGATGATGGTGGTCCTGACAAAAGTACTGGTCGTGGGGTGGGGAGAAGCAGATGATTCCAAAGGTCTTTAAAAGAAAGACTGGATAGTTGTATGACTCTCTACAGGACAGGTCTTCCAGGTCTGCAGCCTAAGCACTTGAGAGGATGGTGAGGCCAGACTGGTCTTTTGAGAACGTAATTAAGATTCCATCATTCCTTTGCTTAACATCCATTAATGGCTTCCTATTACACTCCTTTCAACAGTTTGGCCTTGAAGTCACCTCATGCCTCTCTTTAGCTACACTGTCTGCTTCTGGTTCCCCAAACACACCAAATGCTCATCCCATTTCAGTGCTTATTTTGCATTTGCCTCAGCCAGAACACTCTTCCCCAGAGCTTCCCAGTGCCGGCTGTTTCTCATTCTTTAGATCTCAGCTCTCCTGTAACTTCAGAGGTCTTTCCTGGCCGTGCCTTCTAAAGTAGCCACAAACCACCCCAGGCATCTCAGATCCCAATTACTCTGCTTTAATTTCTGCAGAGTATCTACTACTTCCTAAAATGATCTTATTTACTTACATGGTAACTGTCCTTCTTTCCCCACTAGTATGTAAACTCCAAGACAGCAGGATTTTTCTCTTATTTGTTAGAGGAGCCCCCAGGGCAGTGCCTGGCCCACAGATGGAGCTAAGTATTCACTGACTAAATTATGAGTGGATGCATGAATGAATGAAGGCCCTGCATTTTAGAGTAAGGCTCTGAAGTCAGACCTGGGTTGAGTCCTGACTTTGTTTTGAATGAGTTACTCATTCCCATCTGTCAGTAAGCGGGGGATAGTAATTAATTACCTCAATGGAAGGCTACTGTGAGGATTAAATAGGCTATGTTTGCATGTGCTTTGCACACTTCCTTGCACCTGGTAGTTGTTCAATGCTGTTATCATGAGATGTTAAATAAATACTTGCTATCTGATTGGCTGGACTGACATAGAGTAAGTTGCTGAAGACCCACAGTGGCCACAGGATGGACTCTCAGGATTATGAAAACGTAGTTTCTCTGGCTTCTCAGGCCCTGACTTCAGGACACCTCCCACACCACAATTCCTTTCATCTAGTTGGGGAGGTCTGGGTTTGACCGCCTTCCACATCTCACAGCTGTGCTGGCAGTTGCTGATGGAAATTAAGAATGAAAGCTGGAGACAACAGCAGAGTCCTATGCTCAGGGAAGCCCCAAAGAAGAAACTCTCAAAGTATTTATCCGTCTGGAAGCTTCATGAAGGCAAGCTCCAAAGCTGCTTTGTGGACTACTGTCTATGCAGACCTAGGTCATAATAGGTCCTCAACAGCTACTGAATGAATGAATGGAGTTACTGATCCTGGAGTTTCTATCTGGAAAGGTAGACTATCTCAGTAGAAAACGCCCCATGCTGGCTTCTAAGCCTGTATAGCCTTATCTATAAAATGGGGATGACAGTATCTATTTTCATGAGGTTGATGTATGGATTGAATGAGATAGTGAATATAAAATGTTTGGCCCCGAACAGAGTTAAGTAGCCAACCTTAGCTGTTTTGATTAGCAACAGTAGCTATTATCTGGCTTTTCAGGCAGAATTATTGGCATCTCTGAGGGGACGGACAGATCTTTGGATTCGGCTCTCTTTTCTGATTCACCTTCCAAAGACAGAAGGCAGTTCCTTGTGCCACATCTTTCCCTAGTTTTGCACTCTCGGTTGGCAATTATCACAATGCATGACAATGGTTAGTTCACATGTCTTTCTCTCCCTCCTGCTGGAGGGTGAGTCCTTTGACAGGAACATGAGCTCTTTGACAGGGTGCTACTGTGAACACCTGTACATAGGTCTGAATAGAAATGGGGTGTGAACTGCTTCTGGCCCAGATGACTGGGGATTGTGGTGCCTCTACCACATGATGTTACCAGCTCTCTAAAGAGCAGAGGGCTCCACAAATGTGTTTTTGAGAACAGAGAAAAACCAAAGAGATCTTAGGATAACAGGACAGGCTTCAGCAAAACCAATACATTCTCTCTATCCCTCCCAGTTATTCATTCTTCCATTAACATTTTACTTTCTTCATAGCACAAACCACTATCAGAAGTTCTCTTGTTAGTTTACTTGTTTACTATCTCTTTCCACCACGATTTAAACTCTATGACAGCAAGAATCATGTCTTCCTTATTCACCGCTGTATATTCTTATCACCTAGAACTACTCTGGGCACATAGGAGTAACTTAGCAAATGTGTTAAAAGAACATCGAATGAGTTAATGAACACACTTTCTTAAAACATTTATCTTGAAAGGAGTCAGATTTGGATGTTCTTAAACAAATACATAAGCATTTGAAAATGCAAAACAACTGAAGTTATATCTTTACATAAGACAAAAATTAAGGTCATTTTAGGACTGGCAGCATATAAGGCCAAAAACGATCCCTTTTCCACACCAGTTGGCTGCTTTCGATAAAGAAAACAAATCTATCACATCAGGTGAGAAGGGACAGGATGCAGTCAAAAGAGAGCAAGTTATGGAGTCAGAAGATGGAGTTTGGGATGCCTTTGCTTATTGGCGTGTGAACCTGATCAAGACATTTAATGACAGAAGAAGTTCAGCTTCATCATCTGAAAAGATAATTCCTACCTTAAAAAGTGGCTGTGAAATGCAAAGAAAATGGGTGTGAAAGAGATTGACCAACTGTCCAGCACTATAAGGAGTGGTTATTATCAGCTGTCAGGGCTGAAACATAGAAAGGCAGATCAGCTCCCCTGCCCAGAAGCTCCTCGCTAAAAGGCAGCAGCACTACCTGAACACCTGCTTTGTCTCCTGACAAAGGCCAATGTATAGTGTGTAAAGCGCCCCTGGAAGCTGTTAGAATGAGTTTTGTGGAAGCAAGAGCAACTCCATATTGAATGAGCAAGAGGAACTCCATTTTGGACATGCACAGAGAACTTAGCAGATAATGCCCAGGTGTAACCAGCTACACTCCGGAAGGTCTGCTACTGAAGATAAGAGGAGAGTCAGGGTCCCCGGCTGGCTGCCCTGATAAGGTGAGGTCAGAAAGGCACTCAGAACTGTATAAGAACAGGACTTTTGCAGCTCAGAGAGCCGGTCGAAGTGACCACGCCGTCACTCTGCTCTGAGAACCCTCCACTCTGCTCTGCTCCGCTTGGACAGAGCCGCTGCTGACCGACCTCCAGGACCAGCCACTCTTCCTCGCTCCACAGGACTCTGATTGACTTGGGGACTGGTTCCTCACTCTATTTTACCCAATTAGACTGTGTGCTTTACTGTTTGGTGTGTTGATGATTAGTGATTAATATTTGAGTAAAGAGCATATTGAAAGGCATTTAAGATCTTGCGTGCTCTGCTCTTGGCTCGTGCCACGGCTACCGCGGAGGCCTCAGTCAGTGCCAGGTAGATCCTGAGGGGTCTGAGAGTCTCTCGGGGGTTAGTCCCCCTGACTCGCAGGAAGAGACTGCAGCACGGACTGTGAGCCTAGCAGTTGCTCGTGACACATAGAAAGAACCTTGGTCTGGGAGGCAAACACCCTGGGACCTAAACACTCTTTGCAACTGAGATGTGTGTAATCTCCAGTCTCATCTGTGAGACAAAGGGTTGGACTCCTAGATCTCTGGGGGCCCTTCCAATGTTGACATCCCGGGAGCCGGTGTGGTCCCAGAACCGGCAGGATGTTTTGCGTTTAGGAGGAAGTGATCAGCAAGCATTTGCTCAATGAATGAGTAAACCAGTGAATGAATGAAGATGTCTCCTCAGACCGGGATAAGGGCCCCTCTTCTGGACGAGCTTCCCAGCCACAGAACGTTTTTCGCAAGTCTACAACTGTCTTTCTCACTGACTAGGCCGGTGCAATCAGAGTGGGGTCGTGTCCCATCGTCAGCAGAAACTGGCGCCGCGCGGCTGGCGGGGTTATGCTGACTGGGCGAGGCCTGCGGGCCGGAACGAGGAAAGGGCTTGTTGCGCGTCGGGGCCGGAGGCTGGCCCGAGGCGGCCCGAGGACGCCGCGCGGACCCGGACTCTCCCAGTTCCCGGGCAGAGGCCGGAGGAGACTCACGTGAGCACCGGGATAGGCGTCCACACCACGCAGTAGGGGAAGCGGCTCCGCTCCACGTCCATGGTGCTGCCGCCGGAGGAGCTAAACTGCTTCTTGTCCGTCTCGGCCGCCGTCGGCGCCTCCACTTCCGCCATTCCGGGCGGGGGTGGTGGCGGCGGCAACAGGAGCGGCGAACTCCCTTCCGCTTCCGCCATCCTGTGCGCGTCCCGCTCCGGCGGCACCTGCTCCGGCGCCACTTGATCCTTGGCGTCACTTCCCGGAGGTGGGGTCCGCCTGGCTTGGCCTTCCCCCCGGGAATTGGAGCCGTGGCCCTCTGGGCCCGGCCTGCTTGTCACCGCCCAGGACCCCGCCGCCGTACTTGTCACCTGCCAGCACCATGGGTTTGCGCCTACACTGCATGGCTGCGGAAGGGATGCCCTCAGGCAGCGCACAGTCTAGCGCCGTAGAGCCACCAAGAACTCTGTAATTCAGAACGCTGAGGGGTCCTAAAAGGTGTGGTACAGCCTCTATTTATTGATCACTTCTTAGGTACCAAGCAGCTGACATAACATTGTTTTTAATCCCCATAAATTGGTTAGACATGCAAATTTAGGGATTTCCCCCAGGTTACAAGTAACAATTAAGGCTCCGGGTGAGGTGAATGGCCACGACACAAACCCAAGTCTGACCCAAGTCTGTCTCCCTTGTCCGTTTCATTCTGTGATCTCTCACGAGATAGTGGCAGCATAAAGTAAGGACGAAAATATTGTGTGCAGTGTGTGTATAGAAGTAGGGGAGCCTTGCCCTAAGATATTTGAGCTGAGTTATGTTTGCCAAGTGGCAGGGTGGTGGGGGTGGAGGGATACCTGCAGCCTTGTAAAGAAAGGCCTTGCCCAGCACAGTGTGCACGACTGTGAATATCACCTTGGCCGGAGTAAATCACAAGATCTAGATGTGATGCGATCTCTTCACTGTACAAATGGGAAAACTGAGGCTCTGGGAAGTTAAGTAATTGTCTGAGATCACACACAACCATATAGAGAGGACAGGCTCAAATCTTGGGATTCTTTGGGTTTTTTGTTTGTTTTTTTAAGATTTTATTGGGGAATCGGGGAAGGGGAACAGACAAGTTGCTGTCCTTTTGTTCTTCAATCTAGTTGTAGAGGACATCGCTTCACTGGCCCATGTTGGTATTATCATTGCGCTCTTCCCAGGTCAGGCAGTCGCTCGCCGGCCATTGGACAGCTGTTCACGGAGGCTCATGGCAACTCACAAAAGTTCACGCCAGCTGCTGGCTAGTCTTGGGGCTTTTTAAATGATGCCAAGATAGACAAAGAAAATAGAATCCGCTGGGGTGGAAAGTGGGAATGGGGGGACAAGAAGCAAGGCAGCAGCTAAAAATCAGGCCAGAGGGAGATATGGGCAAATCCACTTAGGAAGGTGGGAGCTATGCCTTTTGGAAAGGTCTTTTTTTCCATTGAATTACACCCCCCCCAACCCCCAACGCTGATCTACAGAAAGGCTGCTGTCCTGTTTTTAGCACCTAATATTTTAATGCACTTTGGGGGAGACGGGGTGTGTGTCTGTCTCTGTCATAGAACTTGATTTCAGTAGCTAGCATAGTTCCTAGTTCAGAGCAGATGCCCATTAGATGTTTATTGATTTATTGAAGGATTGAATGGATGTTTTATAAAGACCTCATAGATAGCACAGCTGAAAATGATTCTAACCCACTCAAAATTCTTTGAGTACGTTTGTGCCTCTCCTGTGACGCATGTGTAGTGTGTGATCCTTGCAGGGAAGCAACCAGCATCTAGCCCAGGGTTTGGGATACATTAGGTGTGCAGTATATGTTTATTAAATGAATAAATTATATTACTTATCTATTCAATCATTATTGCTGTCTAATCTCTTCTGAATCACAGGCTCCGAAGAAGGTCTATGCCTTTGACATTCCTCTACCATCACTGTCAAACCATAGTTCTAGCACAGGGCTGGTGGGTGCCCTTTAAACACTTACTGTGTATATGGATGAATAAACAACCTAAGTCTTTCTTAGGGCCTCCCACAAATTTGGTAGTACTAACTAACCTAAGTGCTGCATTTAATCTGACAACCTTCCGTGGCTTCCCATTGCACTTCAAATAAAACGCAAATATCCTACCATGTTTTACAAGGCCCTGCATCTGGACCATGCCCTTTTCTTATTTGTTCACCATGGTACAACCACCCTGGCCTTTTTTCAGTTCTTCCCGTGTGCCATGCTCTTTCATACCCCAGGAACTTGGCGCACATTGTTCTCCTCTGATTGAAATCTCCCCTTCCCCGACTGCCTCCAACACCTAACTTGCTAGCTTCCACACATCCTTCAAGTCTCATGTTAAATGTCACTTTTTCAGAGAGCCCTTCCCTGGCCTTCCAATCTAAACTAGAAAGCCCCTGTTAATCTCCCTTGGAACACCCTGTTCTTTTCCTTCACAGCACATTTGTAGCTGTGTATTGTTAGACTCTCCCTAGGCTGGAAACTCATTCACTTCTGTAAACCCAGTGCCTAGTAGTGTCTGGCACATAGCATTTGCTTAATAAATATTTGCTAAACTGAATGAATGGCAAATACTTATTACCTTGGTGTCATATGCTGGCTACAGAAATTCTACGGGCAGGAACCTAGCTTGTCATCTGCTACCTCTCAGTGCCTCAAGCTCTTTTAAGGGGCCCATGGAGGTTGGTGGGCATGGTGCTCAAGAATAGGGTCTGACCAGGGAGCCCTAGCTTCCTTCCCGATGGCCTGCACCATCCTACCCTTGGCCTAGGCGGGTGAGAAGCAGGCACATGAGGAGGGCCGGGTACCTAGGGGGAGAAGCCAGTTCCTTCTCTTACTCCTCTGGGGCCCCTCTCCCAGTCTTGTTCCCCACCACATACACATCACCTTGATTCTCTCACCCAATGTAAAAACCTCCCTGGCCTGTGCCCTTGCCTCCTCTGCTGCTGCCACCCCTATCACCCACAGACAGATGGGAAATCTCCATCAAAGACTAACACTTCCTTCCAGGCTCAAGATCACAGCGGGGTCCTGGAAGAAGTTCCTCTAACAGAGAGCTCAGGATAGGATTGATAGGGCTCATAGCTACCCCTCCCCCCAACACACACACCACCGAGACCTAAAATAGGAATGACCATCTGGATCCACTCACAGGGATGGCTGGGGGAGGGAAGGAGGGCAGAGCTGGAACTGTCCAACTGGGAAAGCTTCGAGGGTAGGATGTTGCTTGTCCAAAGGGTGAACTCAGGGCACGTCCTCTTGGTGGGAGTCAGGGCACCCCCTCAATTGGCCCCATGTATGAATCCCTGGGGCTCACGGATGACCTCCTTCAGGCCATTTCACTCCTCATCCTGGCATTCAAGGCCCCTGTGGTCTGGCCCCAAACCCCAGCCTTCTTTTCCAGCCTCATCTGTCACTGTGTCTCTCAGGACCTAACCTCACTGTGCTGTCTGCCTTTGAGAGAATGGAGCTCTGCACTGCATACCTCACGTCTTTGCTCACACTGTTCCTTCAACAGAATGCCCTTCCCTTACTCTCTTCACCACTTTCAAGGTTTCTGGCACATGCTCCCTCTTTGCTCCCAGAGCACGGAGGCTGTGTTTCCACCTATTGAATATTCATGTGTACTTGCATTAGCATTAGCTGTTTACATGTCTGTCTCCCCCAGGAGACTGAACTCCTTGAGAAAGGGACTGACTGGATCTATAGGCCCCTGTATTCAGCACAGCACCCGGCAGATAGGAAGTGCTTAGGGAATGTCACTGGAGCTATCTGTTGACCATAGATGGTCTCCTTTAAGGCTCTGGGGAAGAATCACCTCAATCAATAACCCAGGCAGCAGGGCTGAGACAGGGCGATCACCGCTGCAGGTTGGAGGAACTGCTGGGTGTAATGTAGTGTGTGTGTTGTGTGGGAGGGCAGTGTCCTCTCTCGTGCAGCCTTTCTGCTCTGTTCCGTTCATTGCCTTCTCTGGCTCCTGGAGACTGGCGTTCTCTCCATGAAGCCCCGAACTGTCTTCCAGCATGGCTCTAAACCTTCTTGTGGTGAGGAGGGGACCACCTGAAAACAGACCCTCTGACCCTTTAGACATCGGAGTTTACAAAATGACTTCCTTTTCCATTCCATTTTATAGCTGGGCAAACTTACCCAAGATTATCAGAAACAAAAAACTAAGCTCAGACTCTAAGTCTCTTACTCCCAGGTGGGCAGTAGAGCACCATGATTAAACAGGTGAACTTATGAGTGAGCCAGCAAGCGCAGGGGTTGAATCCCTGTCAGCAATTGTCATACCTTAGGAAAGTAATTGAACCTGTCGGGGCATCAGTTTCCTCATCTCTAAAATGGGAAATGGTAATTCACGTCTTGTGAATAACAGTTCCTGGCCCAAAATAAACACTCAATGTTAGCTATTATAGCAGTTGAAACCACACACCACCATTGTAGGACTCAAAAAGCACTTTGATGTGCATAATCTCAGTGTGATTTGGAACCTCCTTACAATGCGGTGAAGTAACTAGAGCTGGTATCATAACACCCATTTTACCGATGAGGAAATGAGTCCGGAGAGGTTCAGAGACTTTCCTGAGGTCTCAGCATGTATTAGGCAGAGCTGGGGTTCTGAACCTTCACCCTGAACTGCTTCTGCTGGTGACCTCATTTAGGGCCATTAAAGAGTGAGGAGGGCCAGCTGTGTGGCTCAGTTGGTTAAGAGTGTGAGTTCTGAGCAACAGGGTTGCTGGTTCGATTCCCACATGGGCCAGTGAGCTGCACCTGAGCTGAGCTGCTGCTGAGTTGCCAATAGGTGGCAGGATGGCTCAGCTGGTGAAAGCATACGCTCTTAGCAACAAGGTTTCCGGTTTGACTTCTGCATGGGATGGTGGGCTGTGCCCACCCACGACTAAGATTGAACACAGCACTCTGAGCTGAGCAGCTGTAAGCTGCTGACGGGTGGCCGGATGGCGGCTGGACTTGGAGCTGAGCTTGCTGTGCCCTCCACAACTAAGATTGAAGGACAACAACTTGGCTGTTCCACTTACCCAATTCCCCAATAAAATCTTAAAAAAAAAGTGAGGAGGCCAGCCTGAGATTGTGTAAATCAACATAAGATAGGTGCAAACTATGGCCTAATTAGGACCAAGACCTATTTGTATATAAAAACAGGAATGGCTCGGGAGCAGGAGACAGAAGAACAAGGCCAAACAATAGAGAGCCTCATG